TGTGACTATTTTTTTAGATCTGTCACAATTGTGATAAATTATAGTGATGATTTCAAAATTTATCACAAATTTCTATCATTAAAAATCATTTTTCTTGTAGTGTCAATATTAAATTTTGAAAAATACTATTGGGATAATTTTTTTGTCTCACTTTTTTATAAAATTTGACGTATAATTAAAATGATTAGTTTTTTTAATTCATATGAGACTCGTGATATTAAATGCACCCACTCATTTAATAACATATAAAAATTATATAAAAAATGAGACAAAAAAAAATTGTCACCATCCGTTAATTTCAATGAGAAGAATAATCTAACGTAGAAGAAAGTTTAGAATACAATAAGGATACCACGTCAGGTCGCATCTCCGTCAAATAAAAGAGTTACAACTCATCTAAATAAGACAGCTGAGCATCCCATTAAACAGACGCCATCAAAATTAAACCTTAACAAGAAGAACAATCTAACTGTGAGTTTCTCCAGTTACTAAAAACAAGAATTTCATATTAATAAACGCAACTGGGTTTTAATTAGAAATTATTGTCTATTTTATTGCAATTTTGCATTCTGATATTACTTTCTCAATTTTTCCTCTTTTTTTTTTGTGTGGATTTATTTAATTTTGTATTAATTGATGGCGATGGTGATAGAAATTGTGCTTATTTGTAATTAGGGGCAAAGATGATGAACAAATATGGGATTTATGTGCCCGAAAAACTGGCTATTTTGTTTCTTTGAACTTAATGTGTTCTATTTTGCCTCTAAAAACCAAATTTTGGCTGGTGGTGGCTTTAAGTGCAGAGCTTACATTGTTCAGACTGATTAGATTGAAAATATAACTACTATTAATGTTGTATATTACCCATTCAGGGGTTTAGAGGGGAAAATCATGGGATCAGGTAGGAACAATCCATCTTGATTATTGAGGAGGTGGTGTTAGGGGGGTGGACCCTGCCTATCGCTTTGTGGGTTTGGAGACCTTGGGCACTAGGGCCTATGGGGGATTTGTTTCTTGAAAGGAGGCCTTTTTAGGGTCGTCCCGTAATTCAAGTGCTACCAGGGTCATCTATTAAAATCTCTTGAGGGAGATCACGAGTTCGACCCCTGGGAAGGCCTCCTACTAGGAAATAAATCTATAATAGGCCTTAGTGCCCAAAGTTTTCAGACCCACAAAGTGATAGGCGGGGTCCACCCCCCAACAGGTGGGCTGTTGTCGTCAGGGACAAGCAGTGGAAATAAATTATCCTTACATTTTTCTCGTTCGGCCTTTCTCCCTGTCTCCAATAATTTGCTTCTGTGTCTGCCTTTTCCAATTATTCGGTTTTGTGTCTCTGAGGTCTTTTGTATCCATCACTCTTCTATAAAAAATTATGGGTTTAAAATTGTTCTCCATCCAACAGCATCAATTAATTCTAAATTGTTTTATGTTATGCTTTTTGCCTTTGAAGATTCACTTATTTACCAGGTATTCTCCTTGATTAGTAGCTCTTAGAATATAAGTTTTAGAACTACCATTGTTGAATTGGTTTAGCTCCACATGCTAGAAGCATAAGTTTCTGTAAATACATTTTTGAAAGATACAATTTAAGTTTAATGGTAAGTACTGTGGACAAGGTTATAGCCACTACAAGAAAAATGCTAATTGCCTGGATTTTACGTTTTGCGTTTGTACCGAACGCCAGCCAAGTATTCCTTTTGGTTTTACTGGCTATACTTTAGTGGCATTTGGCAAAACGCAGGTGGATTCTTCCGTTTTATTTAATAAACGCAGGAAATTAATTAAAAAAAGCAAGTAGAAATAGCACTAAATCTAATGAAAAAGCAAGGCAAGGGATTAGAAAATAATTTATGATTGAGTTCTAGAATGCATTTTCCCCAAACATTAATTTTCATTTCCTCCAACAATTTCTCCACGAGCTGATTTCTGATTACGATTCCGATTATCCTCCTTTCTGATCTCGTTTTGATTATCCTTCGCCTCAATTTGTTGCTCTCATCATCGAGTATTATCACATCATGGATTCCGTTTGGTGGATTTGAGACTCGCTGTAATCGTAGCAATCGATGGGTGTCGAAGGGGAAGACCGAAGCAAAAAATGATCGCGTCTCGTCCCTTCGATGATGACGGCTACATTGGCTACGATCCTCGCCCCCGTCTCATCAATTTGACTCGTTCTCCAACTTCGACGCTGGCTCAGTCAAGGACTCGGTCTGTGACTCGTCGCCAATATTTAGCAGTCAATCATACAGCTCTAGAGCTAACGTGTTCGTATCTCAGCCGCTTCTTGAGACTCCGTCGCTGCCACCAATCGGTGGCGGTGGTGGTGGATTCTCAGAATTCTCAGCTGAGGGGAGCGGAAACGATCTCGACGGTAGTGTTTTGGTAACCAAAATGTAGTGAAAAGCCGAAAAAAAAAAAAATATTTTCCTGTATTTTTTTTACAAGACAATAATTAGTAGGTTAGAGTTGTTAAATGTTAACAATTAAAAATTCGACCTTCAAATCAAATAAACAGTTCACCAAGTTCAAAGAGGTGCGCAGCCATCAAACCCGATTGGTGGAGCTCCTTTTCCTGTATTTAGGCAAATACCAAAAATAGGCCTTGCGTTTGATAAAAAAAAGCAGGTAAAAGATATCAATAATTTGGGACCTTTGACAGGGCATTACCTGCGTTTCTTTGAGTGATTCCCCTGCGTTTTCAATAAATGCAGGAGAAAATAAATTTATATCAGTGTTTGCATTAAATGCAGGTATGATATTCACCGGCACTGTCCACGCCAGCTTTTGTGTGGCATTTGTGCAAATGCTGGTAGCCTTTTTACTTGCGTTTTTAAACGCAGGTAAATACCTAAACAAATGCACGGAGTTGATCTTTTTCTTTTAGGGAGCCTGAATATTTTGTAAATTTTATTGGTGATTTTGATATTTTGGTATAAATTTTATGGTTTTGATTCTATAAGAAAAGGAAGGGAAAAAGTGTAAATGTAACTTCTTTATTTAAATGAAAATGACCTGATTTATTCTTTTAAAAGAGTAATAATAGTTTATGAGAAATAATTAAGATAAAAAAATTATAGAAATTTTATTAATAATAGAATACTCATATGTCAAGCACAATACTACATGAAGTCTCCAAAAACTCTTAATACAGTGGGTCAATCACAACCACTTAATATTGTTTTGGTATCTAAGAATTGTCCTAAAAATGGTTGCCTCTAAATTTCCAATGATAGATCTCATTACAAGCTTTTGATCATGCTGCTGATTTATTTGCATAGCCATTAGTGAAAAAACCCATAAGAATCTTTTCAATAAAAACATGCATTTATATATAATATAAATTTCTGCATTTATATATAATATAAATTTCTAAACCAAACCTTTACTAACTCCTTGAAAGTTAAAAGTAATTAAACAAATTGATTCAGCATCATGCTCCCACGCAATCAAGAAACAAAACTAACAGTTTCACAAGCAACACAATACCATATGTGTCGGCCATAGTTGTAAAACACATTACATAAATTTAAATCCTCAAGATAGTGGTAATCATAAATCATCTACAAGTAAATGAGTTTTTACGAAAGGAGAAAAAGGATTCCTGGTTACTTCACATGAGCAATAATATGCCCTGCTTTTTATTGAGGGAAATAAATCTTCTTCCTGATTTCTAGATTCTACAGATCCTATTATGCATCAATGAAGAAGTCTTCCTCTGATTCAAACCTTTATAACCTGTAAGAATGTTGGGATGTTCAAGAGTTAATTGGATTTCATTTTCCTCCCACTGCTTTGCTATAATAATCCATCAACATCTTGAATTCAAAAGCTTCGGCTGGAACACATTAGACATTTCCTTAATGCCATGTTGCCAGTCACTTCCTAAAAGCCTGTTGCCTATTTAAGCTATTCATAAATTTTCAGTTCTAGGAAATGCTTACCCATTCTGCATTGTATTCTTACTCCCACATTCCAAGCTTCCTTAATCAATATTCAAAGCTATTCGTAAAATGGATCTTTGTTGCGCAAGCAAAGCTTCTCAACAAATTTTTACTAGACTGAATCTCACAAAAGAGTGTAGCCTTGGCTATTCCCCCAAATGAGGTAAATAATTCCACAAACTAATGAGATAAGAGCTTGATTTTGTCAGCACCTAAATGGATATTTTAAATACTAGTTTTAAGAGATTTTGATAGCTCTACAAAAGGAAACTCATGGCTAGTTAAAGGGAAAATGTTACAAAAATTCGTTTACATTTACATCTTCTCCATCGAAGTGTAAAGACAAATCTGAGCACAAACATTTAAATAAAATATTTGTAAAAACTTTTCAGTAACTTTTGAATTGACAAGCATCAATCATCAACTGCCAATACTTTATCCCCTTCATATCATACGATGAGTGCTCGAATTCATCCATCTTCTTCTCCTCCCCTCTCTCACTCATGTGGTGAAAGTCTTCGGTGTAACATTTTTAGAGGAATGCTAAGGGCTGTCGCCCTTTCACCGCTCGCTCTAAAACTGTGCTATGTGGCTGCACACTGTGGAGGCTAGTAGAGCAAGTGCTTTAAGCGTTCCTCTCTTTTTTTTTTATTAGGAAATATTGCTGATGTGGTATTTGGGTTGCGCTAAATATTCTCTCATATCTTATATTTTAGAAACTTTGTTTTGTGGGCTTACCGAATATATGCTTTCTTTTGTGAGTATTACTGATTTGACCATACATACCCACACATATATATATATATATACATAGTATTATCTTCGGTTAGAATTGACTTGCATGATAAAATAAGAATTATTTGATGAGAGAGAACTTACAATAGTAAGAAATTTAACTTTTTATTAAAATAGTTAATATTTTATAATTTGAATAAATTTAGACATAAAACACTTTATTGATATATATATGCACAAAAATATATATTATAATTTAAATTATATTAAATTATATTATATTAATCATTAAATAAAGATAAACCCTTTTAATATATATAAATAAATGGCTATGAACACATTGAAAAAAGTTAATTATTTTTACTATTTCTTAACAAAAACAATGAAATTAAAGAAGGCTAAAAAACTCTTTTCCCTGAAGCAATGTATTGGTTTACAGCAATTGAAGCATCGCACTGGAGGACCATGGCCCTTGCAGGCTCAGCAAGTTCCAGCAAGTGAGGAATATAAGCTGCGCATTCTTCGGCCAGTTTTTTTGACTGATCGATGCACCAATTCCCCTGAGTCTTTGAAATCTCCAGCCTCAGAACGCCGGAAAGCTTGGGAAATATTTTCCTTAATCCCTCCATACAGTGGAACACACTCGTTCAGACCTTGTTTCAATTTGGGATCATCGGTTTTAAATTCTGAAAAATGTCTGATGTTTAGATAGGTCTCTGTCCCTGTTAACTCAATGGATATCAGAGACAACTGAGGAAGGGTAGCTGTTTTGGTGCGCGGATCGCCTTCTAAAACACCCTCACAAGACTCTTGGTCTTGTCGTGGAGCAGATTTCTGCAACAGTGGCATCAGGAATTCCACGAGACGAATATATGATAGAAAAAACTATGCTTATAGCAAGAAAAATTGGAGTATAAGAGGCCATTCTGACTCTTTCTTTGGGTAAAGGGGACAAGAGCCTTTCGGTTTGTATATTCATGATCATCTACCCTATTTATCTATATTTGAGAATGAAGTAAAGATACCACCATACGTTCACCAAATAAATATAACATATGGTTTAAAGCCTATTAAATGTCCTTAAACTTAGGGCTCCTCTTGAATCTCATTAAATTTCGTTTAGGATTTTGGTTAGGGGATTAACAGAAGTGACTATCAATAGAATTAGATAAGGTTAGAATATGGACAATGGTAACTTCGATGTCATATTATCAAAATTAAAATTATTTTATCTAAATTTATGTCACACAAGATCCTGCCGGTTTATATATTCATGATCATCTACTCTGTTTATCTATATTTGGGAATGAAGTAAACATAATAATACATGTTCACAGAAAAAAAAAAGAAGATAGGTTTGAACCTCATTTTGGTCCCTGAACTTTTAAACAGAGCTCCTTTTTGGTACCTCAACTGAAAATTTTCCTTTTTAATCCTTAAAGTTCATTTCTTAAAGTTGAAAAAAGATGCAAATAAGGATATTAACTTTACATTTTTTTATTTAAGAATATTAATTTTATTAGTTTCTAAATAAAGATGTTAATTTTTAATTTTTTTATTTAAGAATGCTAACTTTTTACTTTTTTCTATTTAAAGATATTGTTTTTTAACTTTTTTTATTTAAGGACTAATTGAATGATGATGTGGACATGGCAAATGGATTTTTGAAAAAATATTAATATTCTTAAATAAAAAAATTGAAATTTAGTATCCTTAAATAGAAAAACATAAAAATTAACATCTTTATTTAAAAATTAACAAAATTTATATTTTTAAATAAAAAATACAAAATCAATATCTTTATTTATACATTTTCTCCTTGAAGTTTATTTTTAGAGACTAAAAAGCAGATTTTTTTAGTTAAGAGACTAAAAAGAGTTTCATGCAAAATTTTAGGACTCAAATAAGGTTTAAACCAAAAAAATACTCACATATATATATATATATATATATATATATATTTGTCTAGTGCATAGATTTGACTTACCTAAAGTAGTTAATGTACATTGTATTTTATTTTAAAACATGATTTGTAAAAATATCCTTTTTTAGACCATTTGAATGTGTCCACCCTAATTTTCATGTATTAATCTTAAGGATGCACGTAGTATTGGTGTATTTAAAAAAAATAATTTTTTTTGTGTTGATTATAATATTTAAATATTGAATTTGTATATAAAAATTGATGAGAGTATTAGTATTTCTTTAGAGTTAAGATTAACTCACACATAAATTTTATAAAAAAATCTCATTGTTTATCTCTCCACTATATATGAATAGTTGAGATTTATTCACTTTTTATTATATTTTTTTAAAGTTAATTATTTTTCCATTTAAAAATCTATAATGAATCTCAACTATTAATGGTGAAAAATAAAATTCTATGATTTTGTATCAAACTTATATATAAGAAGATTTTATCTCTTTCTATAAGTTTGAATTAATTTACATATAAGTATTTTACATAAGTTATTCATAATGAATTTCAACTATTAATAATACAAAATAAAAATCTATGATTTTGTGTCAGGCTTATATATAAGAGGATTTTATCTCTTTTTATAAGTTTGACTTCATTTACATATAAGTATTTTACATAAGTTTTACACAAAATTTTGACTGTTATCTCTTCAATATGAAAATTTGAGATTTATAGTTGATAAAAATAGTTATAGTGCTTAACTTTTGTTTGAAATAATTACAATTTCAATCCCACAATTAATGAAGATATAGAAATTAATAACAAAATACCAGCTCAACTCTGCTGGGTTCATATTGATATCACTAGGAATATGCATTTCCTAAAAATGAAAGACAAATTAAGAAAAGAAATCAAGGGCACCAAAGTGGGTTTTGATTAGAATAATTAATTATTTTTATTTATTTATTTATTTATATTTTTGAGATTTGGTTGAGGCTTTTGTTCGTTGAAATGGGTTTATAATATGGCGGGAATCAATCTTCTCACTTCATCCTCCTATTCCCATATATACCAACACTCAAAAGCCCAAAATCTCCAATTTAGCATTTTGCCCCTTAATCTGAGACAGAATCAACAGCAAAATCTCCTGGCATCTGGGTCGAGAAGAATCATGAAAGCTTTGCACTTCACATTAGAAACTCCCAGTCCCAGGTGAGAATTCCGTTTGTCTTATTCTTTTTCTCAACTCTCCGTTCGTAGTCTTCTTGGTTTAATCTGATAAACCCATGAGTGCTGAGTTCTTTATAAATCTGGGGTGGGGGCTATTGATTCTTGAAATTGTGTGTTTTTTGGGTTCTCTGGGTCAGTTTGCGTGTATATGGAAATGGGGTTCTTTCCTTTATGAATGGAGTTGCAATGATCGATGATGGTTCTGTTCTCGCATCATGAATTTGAAGACCTCGGTTAGATTTCATTCTATATCAGACTAAACGCAAATTGGAAAACCGGTCTTGAATCTTGAATCTTGAACGTATGTCACAGACTGCAGAGAAAAGGGTTTTGGTTTTGGTATTCCCCATGTGGATGAATCTGTTAATCTTTTAGCCCTTGTTTGGTCTGCAATGAACCAAAATCCATGTCCAAAGCAGTTGATGAGACAAATTCTCCGGTTATGTTGGGGCTGGTTCAAGAGATTTGACCTAGGAAATGAGTAGCCTACTTGGCTCTGTCACCTGCTCTATTAAATTTCACAATGACAACTGATTTGGGCAATTTGGTTGAATTGGGGTTTTCCAATTTCAGATTCTTCATAGATTCTATCATCAACCGTCATAATTATGTCAGTGTTGGGTATAGAAGTTATCATGTTGTTTAGGCTTCCCTTTTTTAGAGTTTACACTTGCAGTTTTGCAAATTTCTTCTGAACCCCACGTCTGGGCCAAAAAAAGATGCTCTTGAAGCTAACATGACTAAATGAAGATGCATATACAGGCAACATGGCTAAGTCAAATGAAGAGGAAACCAAAGCTGACAACCCTAAACCAAAAGAAAATGGACCTGAAGCTAATGCGCCCAAGCCAAATGAGGATGAAACTGAAGCCAACATGTCTAAACCAAATGAAGATGCACCTGAAGCAGACATGTCTAATCCAAATGACAATGCACCTGAAACCAACAGGACTGAGCCAAATGAAGATGCTTTGTCTCCTAAGTCCAAGGTATCTCTATCCTCGCAAGATTGAACAATCTTTTCTTTAACAAGTGATTGTTTCAATTCGTTTGTTACTCTCATTAGAAATGCCTCCGCAGATTGCAACTGGAATTTATGAAGATCTAGTGGACAGCATGATTGTTGATGTTGCATCTGATTATCACCGGATAAGAAAGTTAGGCCTTGAAGACTTTGATTATTTGGAGGAACAGGAAAAAGAAATGAGGCTGTCATGTGAAGCCAATGAAAAATTAAATGGTCATACTAAAAAGGGTACTAAGGACAAAGTAGACATATTCGGTCAAACAGGTGTTAATCTTGTTTCAACCAAGGATGTAATTCAATGCATGCACTGTGGGGCACAAGTTGTGGCTGGATTTTTTGCTCCTCATTTGGACAGATGTATGAAGGGAAAGGTAATTAACACAAATAGATAGCTTGTACCACTCTATTTTGGCATATTCAAATTCCTGTTCTTCATCACCCATTCATCATCCTTCTGTGCTTTGCTTCTGCAGGGTAGCCCAGCTCGTCATAGCGCAACAATAAGAAGCACAACTGCTCAGAATTCCTCTAATCCTGTTTCTAAAAAGCCCAAGACTTCAGGTTCCATTAGAGAAAAGAAGATCTCGAATGCAAAACCTGATGCTGCAGATGTAGAAAACAGAAAAGATGTAGCTGGTTCAAAGAGAAGAAGTACAGGAACTATGAAATCTCTGCCTTCCAGTTCCACAAGTGCAAAAAAGTCCTCAAAAGCAAAACCTGATGCTGCAGAAGAAGAAAACTTGGAAGATGTAACAGGTTCAGGAAGAATTAGAAGCACAAAATCCC